GTATTCCCCCTCGATATTATAGAAACGGTATTTTTTATTTTTTTTGGTATCTTTTTTGGTTTAGAAATTATAGCCATTGTAAGTTTTCAGTGGCCCACCCTGTATTGAACTTTAAAATACATGAATATTTTAATATGTCTTTTTTGGACCGGTATAATCAGTTATTAATAACAATCCACAGATGCTAAATAGTACTCCTAAATTGAAATTTCGTTTCCGATGACTTTAAAACGAGACGCGAGATCCAAAACCAATTTAAATCGGTTACGTAAGGCCGGCCGGTCACTCGGGGCCCCCGGGGCCAGCGTCTTCGGAAGAAGGGCCATCTGGCCTAAAAGAAGAAAACGCATTGTGAATGCATCGGTATCTCGCGGCGGAGGAGGTCGACGAACCCTCCTCAGAATGGAGCAACTCGACCGACAACAACCGAACGGGTGCGATCATAGATATATGATCGTGCACATTGATCCTTTTACGAGCCATGCAACGGTGGGTTTATTTCATTTTAATTTGCTGCCTCGCAATAGGTACCAATATATTGTTTTTACTGACTTTTCTTTTAGATCTTCTGATACTTTTGCTTTATTAATATTTTCGGGTAAATATGTATTAGTTGTTAGTTTGGGTGCCATCAGTTAACTATTATTTTTAAACATTGACCCTGACTATCGAGAATTATCTTCGTGTATAAAACAAAGTGTCCATCACAGAGGGTACATTAAGATGGGGCTGCTGTAGCACAAGTTCTACATTTGAGAAAAAAACGTTAAGTTATGTTAAAGCAAGAGATAATTAAAAAGAGATATATAAATGTGGAATTTGTGATGGCGAGTGATGTTACTCTCTTTTGACTAGCTTCACTTTGGTTATAACCGCTAAGTTCAGTTCAAACTCTTATGCGAACTAGTCTTATTAGAGCTACCTTAGCCATTTTTGAACCTTTATCGTCCGCTTTTAGATCCATATATGAGATGATTTTTCTTATCTCTACTCTCCAAAATCCACAAACAATATACACAACCGGCGCTACTGCACGTTACTATCCAAAATGTTAACTGGTTAATAAATATACAGGGTAGGCCAATGGACACTTTCCACGCCAATTTTTCTCGTTTAAAATTAAAATTTGGTAAAACGCTCGGACACGTCGATTTAGTTTTGGAGGGGGAAAATAAAATATCATAAAATCACTTTCACACCTATAACCCCCAAGGCGGGGGAGGCGCCACCCCTAAATTCTTAAATGGAAAGGGGGGCCGAGTGATACCTCATGTGAAAGGTCTTTCAATTCCCTTTTTAATGATATAAAATATCATATACTTTCGTTCAGTAGTTTTAGAGATTTATTGATTTAAGTAGATTTTTTTTCATTCCCCAGTCGCCTTTGAAGCCGTTTTTTTTTCGATCGTATGGTTTCCTAACTTATTCAATCAATCAATCATTTATTTATTTCCATAAAACAATGTACAATTGTATAGGAATAGTCAATAAATTCTTAATGCTGACACAAATATATAATACAAAATATAAAAAAACAAACACAACAGATCATAATAAAATTATCATATACGTAGGCCTCATATTATAATTTGCAGGTATTCCTCCACACTATAAAAGTTCATTCCGAACAAATAATTTTTTAAGTAAAAGTCTAGAATATGCGATTCTAATCACTATCATAATTTGTCTCTCAACAAAAGTAATTCTGTAGCTCTGCCTAGGGTTCACATCTCTCACTATTTTGCATAGTAGCATTACGTCAATTTTAAACATGATGTAAAGGACCAATTTCATATGCACTATGTAATTAAAGTAACGACTTCCACACCATGAATATCTTCACTTCCTAAAACAAAATATAAACATGAAGTTGGTGAATATAAATATCTACATTGAGTATACATTGTGAGCAAAATAAAATTGACAATCAATGACATTCACCACTGTATGTCTGTATGTATTTTTTTGGCAAACTAAGTATACTAAAAATTTTAACTAGGTAATCAATCTGCATTGATCCACGCCCAAAAATCTTTCAATTCGGAATAAGTGAAAAATGCTCAATTTTGACCGGGAAAATTTTTAGAAACTTTAAAAAATAAAAAAAAATTTAAGCTTTTTTATTTAAAAGCTTAATTTTTAGTATACATAGTTTACCAAAAAAATACATACAGAGAGAGAAAAAAATAAAAACCGATTTTTTCACCACTTAGCTGATAAATTAAAATCTACTTTAAATCAATAAATCTCTAAAGCTACTGAACGAAAGTACATGATATCTTATATCATAAAAAAGAGAATTGAAAGACCTTTCACATGATGTATCACTCGGCCCTCCTTTCCATTTAAGAATTTAGGGGTGGCGCCTCCCCCGCCTTGGGGTTTATAGGTGTGAAAGTGATTTTATGATATTTTCTTTTCCCCCTCGAAAACTAAATCGACGTGTCCAAATTTTAATTTTAAACAAGAAAAATTGGGGTGGAAAGTTTCCATTGGCCCACCCTGTATATAGTTTTTGTTGTAAATTTCACAAATCAGACACTCTACACGCAGTATGTCCCCGGATACGTATTAACATTGTTTACTACTATTCAGAGCAATTGTGCTCTGCAAGGCAGTAACATATGCTTTAACAAATACACGTAATTTAGATTTCCAATGTTTACTGTTGCTCAGCACATTACCTGACTTGACAGTGCCCAGAATTCGGGCCCTATGTACTGTTAGCATCTGTCTATAAATGTGTTGTTTCATAAAATGTCAAATATTTGAACCGTATTAAAATAGCAGGTGATACGCCGGTAAATAGCCGTTGATGCTGATGCGGCTTGAAAGCTAAATTTCTTCTTCTATTCAGAATTTCATTTCCTATCAAATAAAGTAAAAACATATGTACCGATCTGATTTTTTGCCTGGATATGAAGTTATAGGGTTGAGTCACTTTTGAAAAACACTCGGTATAATACACAATGGTACGACGCCTGTTTATGCTAGTGAGCAGATTCAATATTCTTCCTTATGGCGCGCTCAGACGACTCAGACGTGTCTGAGCGCGCCGTCAGTATGCCAAACACAATTTTGGCGAGTGTATGCCAAACACAATTGTTTGTACTCGTGTACTTGGCAAAAAATTGTGTTTTGCATACAGGGTCCGGCACTAGTGCGTCGGACATCTATACAATTTTTTTTAGAAGTTAGGTATTTGTTATAGAATTATTTCCCAAGTACACGAGTCGTCAGAGTCTGCCTTTATGCATTTGTGAAGTTTTTGTCGCTCCGTTAAAAAAAGTGAAAGTAAATATGAAAGACCAGATTATGTAAATTAATGTACTCGTAAAAACACATATTAAGAAAAATATTTCAGAAAGAATAGTAATCTTTTCGCATGTCACCCTAATGCTTATCTAGCTCACCATTTACGGAAAATGTTCTTTCCAGCTTGTCCAAATAACGAAAACTTCCACTCGGAATTAATTGAATCTATTTAAATTTTAATTTTTAAATGGGGCAAACACTGCAGCAGTTCTTTAAGAAATTGCATGACGTTTTATAAGTCTTGTTTATTTAGGTAAAAAGTATCCTAAAGAAAGTTTGTGGTAAACATTAATTAACTAAAGTGTATATTAACTTTCTACAGAGGTATTTTATGGATTGTGTGCATCTGTATACCTCATTTTATTGATTACTTGTTGTTCAATAAGAAAGTTAAATAATTCTGATAAAGTCATTTTTTCATATTCAAAAAAAAAACGTTAATATCCATACTGAAAATTAATTTCTATTATTTTGAGAAATATATATATTTAATTAAGTTAGTGGAGATTTCTATTAAAGAATGTAGGTATTCAAAATGCAACTCAAAAATATAAAATAAAAATGAAAAATGAAGTTACATATTCTAAAAGTTCGAACTATAGATTGGACATTTTTCAACCTCTGATATACAAAAATTTAGACACATTCAGTTCACCTAAACAGTTTTTTTTACTTTTTTCAAAAGTGTGTGGTAGAAAAAGTTTTTAGTATTTTTCCTCTTGTGATGCTAACCTGTTTAGCGACACCTGAATCTGGAGTGTTAAAAAAGTGTGTCAGTTTTACTGATTTGTGAGATTTTTTGTTTTTACTATTTTTTTTGTTGCGTATTTGAGAGATTCGTTGTCGTTTATTATTTGGCAATCATTATAATATCAGTAATTATTTTTTATAATATGGTGTTGTTGATTTGCATAGCCTTGTTATAAAAATTGTACTTGTTGCACAAACAGTTCTTTCAAGAACTAATTTTTCGAGTTTTTGTATTTCCTGAAATTATGTGTTGAAAATATGCCGGAGTATTTAAACAATCGAAGTAAAGAGCTCGTAACTTCCCTGATAAATTACTTTGAGAACGTGACAATAAATGTCCTGTATTACCCTTGACTGCAGTCAGAGAAGTAAGTTTGATTGGTAAGCACATTATACTACTATCAAAGTTATTTCTACTTATTTCAATTTGCAGCGAGTAGCTGCTGCCTTAAATTTAAATATTTCTACTGTGAGTGCAGTTTCACAAGTTGTTAAAAGTAATGAGCCATTAAAGTCACCTAAAAAACGTTCTCATGCAACGAGGATAACAAACACAAGCACATAAATCATAAATCCATCACAATCTGGCAGCGCTGTCGCCATTGCTTGTCACTCAACGTTCATCACGTGTATCGGAAATTGTTATGCGATTACTATAGACATGTTCCTGGGGTCGAAATATACCACCCCTGAAAATATTATATTATTTAAGACTCGCCCTGTATATATTTTTTCAATACGCTGATAACATATTGTGGATTGTTTATTTAGAAACAGTTTAGTCTGGAAAAAAATGTACTAATAATTATCTGTCATTTGGTGTGTGATGATTCGGACTCTATACAAACTGGTGGTACTTCTATCAAAAGTTACTTATTTATATAGAACTTTAGGTATAGTTAGAATAAAAATATTAATTAAATATCTTGTTACAGATTTCACGGTGAAGCACAAAAAGCGAAAAGTTGGCGTGCCATATTCAGGTGGAGTACCAGTTCCAGAAATCTACTCACAAAGAGAAAAAGTTTTGTTTAACGAACAAGGATTCGTTAAAGATGTCTCGCATTCTCAGCAGGTTAGAATATTGAAAAAATGTTATATTAACAATTGAAATATTGTTTATTATGTTTTTCAGGTTTGGCCTCCGAATCCCGAAGTATCCGGACGATTGCAAGGTTTCGTGGACAACCAGCATAATCAGATAATCCGATGTCAAAATCAGTTTGGTGGCAGAATTATGGGAAATACTTCGATGGTGTTAAGCGAAAATGCGATGATCGCTCCACAACCGAATGTCTCTAATAATATGCCCGGTCAGCAAATGCAGGCCAATCAACCAATTCCTTATAACAACGGACCTAATATGCCTTTACATTCTCATCAAATTATTGGGCCTAATGGAGAAGTTATTAACGTTCAACAGATCCAGCATGGTCCTAACGGTATGCTTCAGCAGGGGCCGAATCAACCGATGCACGGGCAAAATATTTTACATACATCGCACCAGCAACAACCTCAAGGAAGGTTCTTTGTTAATGCCCAACCGACCGAACACAGTGGACCTGGACGACCTAATATGCAGATGGTGTCGTGTAATATCAATCAACAAATGAAACCTGTTGATTTCCCTCAAAGACTATCTCAACACCACATATACAACAACCCTCAAAGTCCATATCAAGGCGATCCTATTAAGTCTAGACATTTTGGACAGGTCATCAATACGCCAAGACCACAGGGATTGAATCAAAATCAGATGATTGCTAATGCTTCTCTTCAGATTCAGCAACAACAAATTCAACAACAACAAAAATTACAATGGCATAGTAAAATGCAACAGAATATGAATCATCAGCAAATGAACCAGATGCCTCTGCCACCACAGAATCTTCAAAACAGTCAAAATCCTAACGTATATGAGAGAGTTCCGCCTTTACATCAACATGCTCCTAATACCGTTTGGCACGAAGAGATGAGAAGGAAGAAGGCGAAACTAAACAAGGGGGTTAAGAACAGGCAGTATCATATGATAGAAAACTGTCAAGTCAATAGTAACCCAAATCATTGTCCCAATATTGACGTTAGACAAATTCCCAGTGATAATAACAGACCGATAATAATAAATCAACTTCAGCAGCATAATCAAACTTTATCCAGCCCGTCATTTATCGAAGACCCTAGTGGATATTTAGCCCAGCAAACAGCTTTATTAAATAATACAATAAACAGGCAAACAGGTGCCATTAACTCAGGCTATGTATGCAATAGTCCCAACACACCGGTACAAGGTGTCCAACAAAATGTTATTGCCATATCAAACTCTTTAGCAAATGAGGTGCCTTTACCTAGTAATATTAATATGGCGGGAATAAAGTCTCCGCAAATGTCAAGAGGAAATCAAAGTGTTAATGTAACAAAACACAAACATAGTACTACAGTTCAGCAGCAAAATAATCAAATCAGTCAAGTTCAAATACAGCATCAGAATATAGCAGATAGCAGTTTAGTCCATGATCAACCTACACAATACACCCAGCCTTGCCAGGGATGCGTAAGTGATACCAACACATATAGCCATAATCAAAAGAGTAAAAGTCGCAGCAGGTCAGATAGTGAACCGAGTACTCCTAATTCTTGTACTACTTCTGATGACCCCGTCACTTCCTCGGTTTATTTAGAAAAACATAGCAATCAGTCTTCACCAGATACACGTCCGATACAAGGCGGCACTGTAAGTACCAGTAATGTTTCACCATTAGATGGTAATAGCTCTGATCCACCAACTCCAAATACACCACACAGTCAAGGTACGCCACCGTATAGAAGTATGGAATTTTCTCAAAATTCAAATATCAATTTCAACGTTAGTGTACAATCTCCTCATGGCCCAGTCGTAGAAATCGTATCGCAGTCTAGAGAAAATTATATACAGCAACTTCAGCATCAGATGGTGAAATCCGATCAAAACAATCAGTACAGTAATCCTAACTGTAGTCAACCTAATCAAAGCAAACATGAGCAAGGCGGGTCCAGTTATAGTCATTCAAATTCTAGTGTACAGAAGATGTCGGAAAGGTGTTATGTATCTAACGTTGTTACGACAATGGCCAGTGGACGAACCAGCGGATGTAACACTATAACATCCGTTCTTGCGGGTCGAACGAACACTGCAACTGTTTCAATTAACAGCCCTTCAAACAGCTCAGGATCTAATACACCAACGTCTAATCCATCATTTACTTTTCAGTCTCAACCTTCTAGTATCAGCGTATCTAAGTCTCCTTTGGAAATGGTTCAAAGTGTTGTAAGCAGCATTCAAGTCCCACACTCCCACCAACAAAATGTTACAGTTTCAATATCACAAGCCAGTCCACAAGTTTCTCCGCAAATTATTAAGCATTCGCCTACTGGATTGCCGCCAGGACACATTTTGGTATCTTCTAATGGTCAATTAATCATGGCTAGTGCTGGCAATGGTCCATCAAATGTTATGGCACCGCCTCCTCCTAAAGTAGTCAATAATCAAAGTCCCATGCCTCCAATATCAGTATCTCCGATGATAACAAATGTGACAGCTTCTGTAACTCAAGTAATTCCTGCAGTGGCACAACAAGTATTGGGCCAGCAAACAGTTTTAGTTAATGCTCTTTCGACACCGTTTGTCATTCAACCTGGCGTTACCATGACTATGGATGGCATGACTGTTGGCCAGAATGTACAAATACCTCAAATTGTTACCGGAAACGTTATACAACAACAAATACAGCTTGATAATAACGATCATCGTAGAGCGCCAGCATTACTGTCTCCAGAAACTAAGAAGAAAGGGAAAAAGCGAAAAATGTCATCTCAAACGGTTGCTGGCATGTTACACATCGCAGCGCAACAAAATTCAGGCGTTGTAATGTCGCAACAAGGATTCCCTCAACAAATTCAAATGACACATAGTCCTCAAGGTCTAACAACGACCCCTGTTATGCAAGCTCTTACAATAGTGCCGAACAAAACAGGAGGTCCTCCTCAAATTGTTATGAATGGACAAGCTGTTGCAAACGCTAATATAGGTCCCCAACAAATTATAACAAATTCTCAACCTACCCAGCAAATCAATTTATTGCAACCTGTTAATTTAATCAACGGAGCAACTGGAGTAGTTCAAAATTTCCCAGCTATACAGCAATTTATTGTTCCTAATATTGGCAGTAGTATGGTAATGAACGCAGATGGTACTGCTACGATATTACAAGACACGTCTAATCTTGGCATGCAATTGCAAATTCAGAATGTAAATGGCCAGAATGTTTTGACACCTATTCAGAATAGTAGCGTGTTTAATAGCGGCCAGAGTATTCTTGCTGCGGGTCCAGCAGGAATGGTCATTAGAGCTCCTACGTCACAAGGAAAAATCATTCAACAACAACATAGTCCAGGGGCACAGTTCTTATCTCCAAATGGTAGCCAGTTTGTAGTAAATGGGGCTCAGTTTAGTGGTCAATTAAGTCCTCTTGTTGCCAGCGTTAGTCCATCTCAACAAGTTACGTTTAGCACATCTCCACAGCAAATAAGATCAAATAATCAAATTCAGTCTGGCCAACAGGAATTTATACATATGAATGGACAAATGGGACAAACTTTAATGGTACCTTGCACACCACAGGCAACAAACATCGCAGCTTCTTCGTCCAATCAAAACACTACTTTCGTACAGCAAAACACAACAATAGTTCAACAACAAACTACCATGGTTGCAAATAATCAGCAGCTTCAGAATTTTCAGCATAACAATTCCCAAGGACATCAGAATGTCGCTAGATCGACGTCGTTGAATATGGATCATCAAAACTTTATAATTAGTTCAAACGATAAGCCGTTACAAGCGGTGATGGTGCAACAACAAAGGGCTAGTCCACAAGATATAAATTATAGACAGTCGGTATCCACGCAAACTGCTGCAAATCAGAACACACCAGCGGTGACGACAAATACTTTTTGCCAAACTTCAACTCTGTGTGCCGGAAGTCCGCCCGACACGACCACGTTGAGTCCGGTGGCCTCGGGTGGCCAGAGTCCTCCAACGGCCGACACAACTACCCATAGCGGAAGTACTGACGATGGATTATCTCCAGCTCCCTCGAATTATTCATCTTCTTGCAACGATTTGAATGTTCAAGGATCTGGTGCGATGGTAAGTTAAATTCATTATTTACGTTAAATTGTTATTTACAACTAAATCGTCGATGTAGATGTAAAACTAAATCGTTTAGGTTTAATTGCTTCTCACACTTCACTTCAATTTGTTAAGATAGTTTCTGAATGTCTCTGGTGTATAGATTGTTCAGCAACAACACCCCTCGTTTCCACTTAGGTCTTTATTTAATATCTAAGAGAATAATGCTTAGTCAGAGAGCTTGTAATCAGTCTTGGGACATTTCACATTTCTGTTTCAATTGAAAGCTTCTTATCTTTTTGCGAGTTATATAGCGTTATATATTTTTTAGCGAGTTTAAAGGGCTTAGTTTTATAATCTTTGGCTTGTCATTGGTCTGGAGAATTTTTCTCTGACTACTTCTCTGATTTTTCTCTACTTCTCTAACTTCTACGATTTCTCTGACTTTTATCTGTTGTTTACATTGATATTTTTGAAATGAAATTTTCTGTTTATGTAAAATTTAGAGTGACAATTGTGATTATGCAAAAGAAATACATATTCTATGAGTTTACTGGTTGCCCAACGATTAACATTAATTTAAAAATTAATTTCCAACATGAATAATGAACAAAACATTTAAACAAAAACAGACCACACAAGTAGTATACGGTTTTATATTAATTCTAATTTTTTTGAAGTTTATAAAAATCATTCATAAAAAATATATATCCTTCAAATCCTTTAATTTATTAGCTGTTACTAAGAAGTTTCACTTCAAATATGCGCACATAGTGCACACACAATTTTTTTTAATTGCGATTTATTTAAAATATAATCAGTCCATTTGTAAGTTACTATCTCAACAAGTTATCTGGTTCTAATCATAGTCCTAGCCTGGTACCTAAATCATAGTCACGTCATTCTGCCTGGCCAGTTGCTTTAGCGATTTTCTCTATTATGTTAACTCCCATAGGCACGCGATTTGAATTAGTGATGGGATAACTCGAGCGAAAATTCGCTCGAGTACTCGATTATTGAAGAGTACTCGGTTATTGAATTAGAATTTTCTACATTCATTGCAGGTAGCAAATTTATACGACGCCGTATATACCGGGTGCATCTCAAAAGTGGCTCACCCCTATTACTTTTTATTTCTTTAGATGAAAGAATGATATTTGGTATGTTAGTATATGACATAAATTAGGATTGATTGACGTATTCAGTTGTTTTCTGTCACTTCCTGTTTCACTGGAAATGACTACAATTTTTGATTTTTAAATGGCACCCTCGGTATTTTTTTTACTTTATTCGATAGAAAATGACATTCTAAATAAAATGACGTATCATATATCAACTTTTGACATATTTGCTTAAAAACAAATTGTATTTTAAATTTCAATCTAGAGTGCCATGACTGTGTTAAAAACACTAATTTTTAATCAAGGAGCCTTGGAAAAATAGATTTGATCGTCTAATGTTTTTAGTGTCTTGCCCGGGCCGGTTAAAAGATGCCCAAATCGTATTTTTGATCATATCTCAATTTTTTTCAAATGGAACGGGGGTGGCTGAATAAAGTAAAAAAATACCGAGAGTGCGATTTAAAAATCAAAAGTTATAGTCATTTCCGGTGAAACCGGAAGTGACCGAAAACAATTGAATATGTCAATCAATCCCAATTTATGTCATATACTGACATACCAAATCTCGTTGTTTTATCTGAAAAAATAAAAAAGTACTTACTGCTTGGCGCTTGGCGTTAACGAGTACTTACAACATGCGACGGACAAAAAACCGTATATTTAAATACGAGCGATATTTCGCTCGAGTGATCACTCGGTTATTGCAATCGCTTGATACTCGAGTACTCGATTATTGAAATTAATCGGTTTTTCCCATCACTAATTTGAATGCTTTTAAAGCAGCTTGACTATCGGATATTATAAAAATATGGCTTCATTGAAAGTTACAATATTGCCATATTGTATACATTTGTTAGTATTATATTTTGATCTGGAATATTGAAGGGCTTTGACCAAGGATTTTGAAAACGTACAATTAGGACTATGGTCAGTCCATATACCTATATATTTTGAGTTTCATATATTCTCTATGAGATCACTGGATTTAAAATATGTTACAATTTTACCATTACAATTTTTCCATTACGTTTCTTACATTTTAATTTTTTCATTTTTCAAGTTATTTTAATTATTTTAGGCAATGGTACACTGCATATCGAGCAGCGAACCTGACCTAATGGAAAGCATTACGCCAAATCCTGAGCAAGATTGGAGAAGGGTTAGTCAGTCTAGTGGATCAGTAAAACATGAGTACAGCTCGCATAAACAAGAGTACATGGACATGGCAAGTGGCCACGTGCATTACAGCAAGCGACAACAAAACACATCTCAGTATGCCGAATCGTCGAACGTGGTGTCTGGGATGCAATTTCTGGAGCATAAGTCAAAACAAGAGGTGATGAGTTCCAAACATTACGAGAAAATAGTTCATCAAAAGAAAAGTAATGATATGATGATTGTGTTGGAAGCACAACACGCCTCATATTTTGATGATGATAACGGTACGTTTGTATATTTGATTGCATGAATTTATATGGTCAAATAAAGCTTGCGGTGGTGTAAAACTTGTAAATAAGCATGATCAAAATGTAAATACTTTATCTCATGTGAATTTAATGTAAACACTAATATTGAACGATTTTATAAAAGATTCCCTGAAACGGATTTTGCTGTTGGTTCTTTGCTAACTATTTTAATGATCAATCTCAAGAGAGTTTCATAAAGGTACATAGTACAGTCAATCTGGCACTTTAACTCCCATCAAATTACCCCCGTTCTCATACTTAGCAAGTCGTAAGTGGTCCACTGGAAAAACTTAAATTCGAAAATACGTATCCCCCCACCCCACCGTTTTTGAGAAACTCAAAAAAAAAATGGATTCAATTTTCCGGTTGAACCGTAGGTCCCACAGAAAATTTTATAGAACAATGAATATTCTACATACATATACACATCAATTTGATAGGTTTTTTATGCTCTTTACTTTTAAAAACTTTGCGACAGTAAAAAAATTGTTTCGCCCGGAAAAATGCAACAAACTGCGTTTGAGTACTTTGGCGCCCTCTAACTTTGTCCCCGTAGGTTTTAGAGATTTGCTACTTAAAGAAATGTAGAGAATTTAATTTTCTTCGTTTTTTGTTCCATAAAATTTTCTCTAAGACCTACAGCCAGAAAATCGAATCGAAAATTTTTAAATTTTTTTAGTTTCTCATAAACGGTGGGGTGGGGGGATACGAATTTTTGATTTTAAGCTTTCCAGTGGACTACTTACGACTGGCAAAGTATGAGAGCGGTGGTAATTTGATGGGAGTAAAGCGTTTTTTGATGCCAGATTGACTGTACTAACAGGCAATTTAAACAAAAAACAAATTGTATGCTTGTTTTTTCTATGCTTGCTTAATTCAATTTCATTTCCATCTCGCTCATGCTTAACCATGCCTACCGCACATAGTTTGCCTTGATCACTTTATTTCCGTAGTCTGTACAGAGTAAGTGGATCGACGAGTAGCGACAGAAACCGTCGGCTCTTTTGATGTGGTTGGACCAAATTTTCTTTCTCTCTCTTTTGACGTGTTTGACAGATAGACTACCTATTTAACTGCTCAACTTATGAAGTGGTCCTATAAACATGGTATACACTGCTCATAATTTGAAGTGGAATAAAGTTTTATACATATTTTTTTATTTTGTTTAATCTTTATTTCTAAATTTGAATGTATAAAATATCTTACAGCTAATAAATAATTTAAAAAAACGATTCGTTGCCTGAGGCATACTTGAAATAGAGTATATAGAGATATTTGATAAATGGCAACAGTGGCAACTTCGCTTCTTCATATGACAGATAAACTACATATTTCGCGCAGCCGCAAAGAAAATTGAAAACCAGTCTGTCGCTACTCGTCAGTTTACTTAGGGTGCGTTTATGTTGGAGCGGCGATAAACGATAAGAGCAGCGATAGTAGCGAAGCAAAGAATATTATTATATTAATTTATATGTAGGTGTTTATATTGGAGCAACGCGTCGGAGACACGCTTGGCAGTTGAGCAACGATAAGAGCAGCGCTAATTCACTGCTTTTATCGTTTATCGCAGCTCCAACATAAACGTACCCTTACTCTGGTCTGTATTTGAATGCATACGACAGAGATAAATATATAAGTTGACAGACAGAGAGACTAAATAATAAGCGGCATACAATGTTGTCGGTTCTTACGTAAAATAACGTAATAAATGAAGATAATATACCTAAGCTATTTATTAATGCTCATTACTGTTAGACAGTTGCTTGATAACATGGTTTAAAATATCTACAATCACTCTTTACAAACAACCATAGAAATAAATATTCATTGGTTTGTGTGTATGCATGGAATACAAATATTGTTTGCACCATCATTGAAAGTGGTCTCTAGCTAAAACGTATCAGAGATTGGCATTAAAATATTTTGTGAACCAAGAAAGAACCAACTGAAACCATTTATTTTTGTTATTTTATTATAAAATAGTTTGTTTGCAAAAGTACTTCTGGGTTGCATGTCTCATTCACTGGTGCTATATATTTACATATTATATTCCACGTTTAATACCACCGCCTATATCAGGCTGTTCCATTTTCAATAAGCTGTAAATACTGCAATTACAAATATTTTCATTTTCACGTTTAGGTGTGGCTAACATTCCAAAACGTCACTTCAGACAAGTCTAACATGGTGTGTGTTTGATTTTTTTTCTTGACATTATCTTAACCAAATTTCATCACCTGTACAAAGCTCATAAAGGTTTTCACGCTTAAGATCCTCACGCATTTGAACTACTGAAAAATTATATTTTATTTAGAGGTGACAAACGAACCACCCTCAGATGAGTCAGAGGTGAAGTGCAAACGCCAATTTATTGTTGGAGATCTAATCTGGGGACCTGCTAAAACTTCTTCTGCTTGGCCAGGAAAAATTGTCGCTATTGAACAAAAACAAAACTTGGCAACGGTACAATGGTTTGGCCGTGAAAAATACATTTCCAAAGTAAATATTGCCTGTTTGCACACATTGTCTGAAGGACTAGATGCGCACCATAGAGCAAGGAAGAAAACTAGAACGTGAGTTTTTGGAATATTGGCCACATCATATACTTAATTTTGCTTCTGATGAAATTAACGGTTTTGGAAGATATTCATTATGTTATTTTTAAAGAATAAATTTTTGCGAATTATTTAAATAATGAGATGGTATATTAAATTATTTTTATATTCTATTTAAACCAGTGTGTTGAAGAATGTTACAAGTCCAAAATATACTTACAATGATATTTGTATGCAAAATATTGTTGCACAAATCAATATTCGATTGCTTTTTATTCAATAAATTTGAATCTTCTGTTTAATATATACTTACTGGTTTTTCCACGCAACTGTGTGCTGATTGTGTGAGGTTAAGGATATTTCCAGGTTTACTTTCGTTTTGAAATATTTCTTCTCTTAACTTTATTTGATCTGACCATCGCAGTGGCGATCTTCTTCGAGTTCTCTTGCCTTCCACCTTGCCCTCCATTACTAATCTCTCGATACCTTCTCTTCGACTGGTTGTGTGTCTATAATATATCAGCATGTCAGTTAACAGTTTTAGTGAGCCTAGTGGTGATGTTCAGTTTTGTTGTCAGTATAACGAAAGCATGCTGAGATACTTTAGCATGCTTTGGTTGGCAGTTGTATCGTGGTGATGAGTTCTGTTAATACTGACTCAGTAATAACAAAACTTAACAGAACTCAACATCATCACTAGTCTCACTACAGCTGTCAACCAAAGCATGCTGAGATATGTTGGACACAGAACTATAACTATATGCTGTCCAGAGTATGCGTAGTAATCCACGACAGACCCATATTTCAAAGGCCATTATAAATTGCGAGTCTGACTTTTTAATGGTCCAAGTGTCTGCAGCGAAAATGGGGATACTTTGATGTTCTTGGCTATGTCAGTATTTTTCCAGATTTTAGTAAGCTTTGCTGTTGCCGATTTTCTTTCCTCTTTCTTCACACTCTCCATTGCTGAGAACCCAAGTAGTTAAACGACTCACGACTTTGTATCATTTCTACTTGTTGTATGTACGGCTGATAATTTTTGCTTCTGTCGATAATCATTACTGTGGCCTAGACTCTATGAATATATACAAATTATAAAATATTGCATCCTATATTTATTAGGACCTGTTAGGACTAAGGTTAATATTAATGAATTAATGAACGGTGGCATTCGTTTACGTTGATTCATATTTTTAAGAATAGGACTAATGTTGTGTTAGGGTTAGGATTGGTTTGATTTGCTATAAACCAGCCATAAACTCTATACAGTGTGTTACTTCAGTAAATAAATTTACCTAAATAAACATACTTGGGTTGAAAAATCCATGGACGATGTGGCTGGATGAGAAACAACAAACTCGGTCCTATAGACCGAGTTGGCAGCGAACGCGTTAAGCTTGATTTTCATGCATCCGTTATCTAACGATACGATGATACGATATTCATTTTATTGGTTGAATTTAAAGGCTTCGATTGGTTACAAACGGTTAACCAATCGAAGCCTTTAAATTCAACCAATAAAATTAATATCGTATCGTCGGACAACGGATGTATGAAAATCAAGCTTTAAACTGAAAGCGATATTCAATGTTTTTTTAATTGAACACATTATGAGTGAGTGTTGAGTTTCAAATTTATTTGAGAAAAAGCAATCAAATTGTTCAACTATTTCGTTGTACAACGCATTTAACGAAATTATTTTGGAAATGCACAGGGATTTCATAGATGTTCAGTGTAATATCTGTAGGCTTGCCTATTGGAAGTAGTGAAAAACTTTAAATGTAGGAGTTGTAAAGTTTTTTTTCTGAATCGTCAACCGGTTTCAAACATATAAACTTTGTCTATATTTGCGTGAACCGTTTTTTAATTATTTTGGTTTAATCAATGCAACCGCTTCCACAAAAAAATTAGAAAGTATTACTATAATATCGTTGATTGAAAGAATTGGAAAGATACAAAGCTGATTTGATTTTCCCGTACGTCTCAAGTACTGTACGGTGGAGCCACCATTCGTTCTGCGGTCAACGCATAACATACTTATTTTCTCTAATTCGGCCAGCGAAGGCATATCGAAAACGGTGTGGAACTGAAAGCGACAGTGCTGCCATATTAAAATATGTAATATCTGTAATGCGTTTACTTAAAAATCCGCGTTTATGCGTTGAAAAATTTATTCGTGGTAAACATAGAATAAACAAAAAAAATCTTTTATAGGTACTGATATTTTGTATGATGGAAAAAATTCGTTTAGTTGGCTTGGAAATGACGGTTATTGAATAACAGCTATCTTCATTTCAAGCCATCTCTGACGCCGTTCTTTGTTTAATCATATAATATTATATTAAATTGTTTAATGATAGAAAATCCTTATTATTAACATACTGTACCCAAAATCCGTAAATCTACGGATTAATCCGTAGTTCTGGCAACACTATCTCCGGCAACCACCCACTCTGTCGACTGAAAGCAGAACTACGGTACAGTATTTTATATCCGCTGCGCTGTAAACGACCACCATCAGCGCCCAGCGGAGCAGAGCTAAACTGAATCTCGGATACCCTGATGGTAACGCCAGCTACATCTCGGACACCTTTTGTGCTACGAAATCGCCCATAAAGTTGCACATGTTATATTTCTTCAATCAACGATAATATGGTCTCCCAGATACAAGCTATGATTTTTGTGTTAGCTGTGCATTGATTAAGTTGTACTGTATTTTATTAAGTCAAAATAATACAAAAATGGTTACCGCAAATATAGGCAAACTAAATATGTTTGAAATCGGGAGAAAAATAATTTTCAAAAAAACTTATAATATGCGTATAAGTATACCTTTAAAAAGACATGAACTTATAAATTTTTCTTAGTAGTCTTCTGTTTTTTTAAAACCTCCAATAGGTAAGCGAGCAAGTAGAGCACTAATCTCTGAAAACACCGTACAAATGCCATCAAATTAATAGCTTAAAAGATTTTAGTTACAAAAAGAGATTTTTAAAACTTTTTTTTTACTTTCAGAAGTCGAAAACTGAGCGCAGTTTTAGAAGAAGCAATACAGGAAGCAATGCTGGAATTAGATAAGTGCGATGTTTCAGGAGCAGTACCTCCCAAACAGTCAAAGGAGTCTTTATCCAAATCCGACAAACTACTAAGTAGATTAAGGAGTGGCCAACGATAGAGTAACAGAATTATATTTATATCAAATTTATAGTAGGACCAACATCGAAGTAAAACAGTGTATAACCTTAGATAAAATTAATATGATAGAAACAACGCTTCTTACATGTTTACGTAACAATACAAATATATTGAAAAATATGTAGGCTGATATAACGCTGGTATTTTGATTCCTAGGATACAATATTTAATCTTCTTAAGATGAAAAATTTTAAATATTTTTCAAATGTCTTTTTTAAACAGTACTTTAAGACATTAATCATAGCCCCTTAGCTGAAAGAATTTGATAAATTATATCAATTTAAGAATATATAGTGTGTCCAAAAGGGTTGGCTTCATAAGGATCGTTAGTGAGTATGTGAGAAAGATATTTTAAACACACGTGCAACAGAAATAGTTTGGTTTTAAAATTATTTTTAACGATTTTTATGTTTATAATATAGTTAAATATTTACAATAGGTGCATGAAGCTTAGATGAAAACTCTTATATACTCACTAATAACTGAAATTTACAAACTGGGCTTTCAAAGAGTGTATATAATGTCTGATTAAAATTTCAATAGATCTTAGAATAGTATATATAATATTAAATATACAGGTCGTATATATTCATAGAATGGATAACTAGAAATTTTATCAGCGTTTTTTACTGTTTTTTGCTAGTACACTTATTAATGACTTCACATCAAGTTGGCCAATCACTATCAATCACATTAAATACTTACAGGGCGTGCTAAAAAGTTCACATTAAATGTGATCAATTTTTATTATTAATTTATTGAAAAGAAGTTTATGTGGAATTACTTATCACGCAATGTCGAAGGAAGCTAGATAAAATCAAGAAAATTATCCTTTATCCTTTTTAAAACTAAATCTAATAAATAATTTAAAAACTATTTATTTTAGGTATAGGAACATGTATAATCAAAAAGTACCGAATTCATAAACCTCTTTACTAGAGAAATAAAAAAACTGGGTTTCTATTCCAAAAATAAAGGTTTATGATTACTTTTTAATCACTCAATTACATGATAGCTACGGTCAATATTATAAGACATTCAAACAATTTAATTTTCGAAATAGATGGCCACATGTCTTTTCGTTATGTCACAATCGCTGTGGTAATCACTAAATTTGACGTTTAGGTTATGCACATTTTTTCTAACTTTTGAGCAGTTTTTTTTCGTCCAAAAATTTTAAATATTTTTTTCTCAAAAACGGTTAATGTTAGGTATAAAGTGTTTGATATCAAAATTCATAAAATTTTACGGAGAATTTAAGTATGTAATAAAAAATAGGGATACCCCTTTAAAATAAAAAAGTTGCTGCCAACTTCCGGTATTTCAGGAAGTGCTGCCATATTGAAAATATTTTTAATCGATAGATCTCGTTGTGAAACAATGAGATGCAAAAAATCTCCGATCTAGACATTGTAGTTCTCTAGAAACTTCTAATCTAATTAAATATTTGTCATGCTGAAGTAGGTTCCTCATAAACTTTTATATGGAAAAACTCGATAATAAAAAAGTATCTGTCGCTACCTTTTTGGCACACCCTGTATATAAGCAGAGAAATAAATTAGTTCAATTTAAAAACAATTAAAAAATAAAAACTGTTTTTATATGTATTATTTTAATATAATAGCTATATCATTTTAAAGATAAAATTATTTAAAATGATATACAGCAGGTTGTGTATTTTAACATACTTGCATTATTATCAAATCTATAGATTTATTTGTTAAAAAAAAATAAGAAACTGAACTGTGTTTGATGATTAGCCAACTTAAGAGAATTATTATTCATTCCAGTATCACAAATCAAAATATGAATTACTTATTTGATAGGTAAAATTATTCCTGTATTTTCTTTTTCTAAATTTACCTTTATTGTTTGGACACAAAACCTTTTCACTAAATGTGTCATATATCAAGGTAGTATCTTCTCTAGTCAATTTTAATTTACAAATTGCGTATTTGTAATGACAATAAAATCGATATTTGTTGGATTTATTTTTGAATGCACTGTACCAATTTATCATGTATCGCATATTCGTTTACTTAATTGAGGTGTAAAAATATATTTAGGCGAAATGATATAATTATTATAGCCAATGATGAGAGATTGCTTCCATAGGAAAAGAATATGGTAAAATTACTTGACAGTTATATTGTTTTGAAAATATATATAAAAAATACATGAAAAGAAATTATATTATTATTATTATTATTCTTTTAATCTCTGTATATTTTGAAATATTTATTATATATTATTCCCAGTTCATTGATCGTCGAATATGATATTGAATTGATTTATTCAAGCATATTTAATATATATATATATATATTCATAAAAATATTCTTAGTCCTAAGAGTTAGACGTTTTGATTTTAGTTTTCTTAAAGAGTCTTAACTAGATTTTGCCTATTTATTACCAATTACGTTCATGTTTTATTAAAATTTATAAAATATATTTTTTCAGTTGAAATATTTGGGAAAACACCTATTTCTTAAAAATATACCTTTATATACTCAGATGCAAAAAAAGTAATGGAAATTTTTTTAGTCAAGTTTAAAGTGTTATATTTTTTTACTTTTAGACCTACTTTCATGATTTTTTTGGCAAACTATAAAATCTATCAACATTAATTCATAAACTCAGTTTTTTATAAACTTTAGTATTTGGCTTTTTATTTTTTATACATGGTTAATTGAAGGGTTATTACCGTGATACAAAGAATACAAGGTATGATATTGCGCAGGTTGGTCATTACGTCACAGGTGATAAACGGCACCATTGGTCGGCAAGCTCCGCGCGCCAATTTCAAATTGTCAAACAGATGACACGAAAAATGTGAAAATAATTTTTCAAATGTCAAGCTCGATGATTTGACATAACTTTTGGGGTTATGTCCTAATTCTTCCCTATTTTAGGTCTTTTTTTATTAGTGGCAATTGAACAATATGGATATTTTTTTGTATGGCGTATGACGTCACAGGTGGTATGCGCAAACTTAACGAAATTGGAACCGCTATCGATCATACCTTGTTTTCTTTGTGCCATGGGTTATTACCATACCTTTAAAACACCCTGTGCAATAATTTCGTGAGTAACTTTTCCTAAAACATTTTTTTATCAGACCCTTATTTTTTAAGAGCTAAATGAACTAGCTACAAACAATTTGCAATTTTTCCAACTATCATTGCTTTATAATGGTATTTTTTAATATCACGAGGTGGCTTTGGTGACTGTTGTGGTAATGTCATATCGACACTGATTAGAACATTTACAAAATGTTAAAAAGTAACGATACAGGCTTGGTTTTAAGTAATATTAGTAACACTAAGAGAACTAAAGATATTAAGAAAAAATAACTGTAATAACTAAGTATACAAAGAAACAAAAAACTTGTAAAAAATACTCTAATACTTTGTATTACCTCCCTCGGCTGCTGTAACTGTCTGTAGTATGAGACTGCAAATATATTGTGTTATGTTTTCCCATTCTTCTTCAAGGACCAAGCGAATATTCATAATTTCGGCCATCTTCAACTAGATCAACTTTTGCACAATCTTCGACACTAAGAACCATATTAAATCGTACACAACAATAATAGTCACCAAAGCCACCTCGTCATTATGAAGAATAACATCAAAAAGCAGGGTTGGTATGGTTTATATCAAATTATTTAAATCATGATTTAAATCAAGTGATTTTTTTAATTTTAATCATGTGATTTAAATCAAAAAAAAATATTTTTATTGAAACTTTATAATAAAAAAAGTAATTATAAAAGTTATAAAAATGTGTCCTAGAAAACAAAAAAAAAATATTTTTATAACGGATATAACAGATAATAAATCGAAAAACAATTGTAAATGTTATAAAACTATATAAAAATATCTATTCATCAATAATTTAAATGCTGGATCGATCTTTGAAGTAATTTCGTGTGAATCCATTAGGCCGCTAAACGCAGGGATTTATTTTAAAATTTATGTATAAGTGACAAAAATTCACTGTTCGAATGCATATCATTCACAAAGTCTAGAGCAGAACTAGGTTCTTCTGATATAGAGACTATATCTTCATTACTGAGAATCTATAATAGTTGTCAGAAATTGTGTTATGTGTGTATATTTTTTTTGAAACAGTTGTATGTTTGCAAATTCCTACCGACATTTTGATCTCCAGTTCTCTTTACACTTCTCTTTACACTTTCTCATCTTTACACTTTGACATAAGATCATACATACTAATTTCATTCTTGACTTAAGGCTATTTCCGAACAATAGTGTATTGTTTTATTAGGAGTAAAAATTATACTTTTTTTGACGATGCTGTACCTTTGAAGGACCATCGTAAAGCTATTCCGACGTTACAGGCAGGCACAAAAAGTACATTTTTACTCCTGATAAAACATACTATTTCTTTTAAAATATTACAAATAATCTTTTTAATCAATAATATGAACAGTAATCGAGCAACAATTGTACACTCGTTGAATTTGACACTTAATATCAGTTTAATAATATATTTTTGTACTTTTGTGCTTAGGCGTAATAGACTTTACTTTTATGCCAAGGCGTTAAAATGACAAAAGTTAATATTTTTGAGATGTTTGAAAAAAAAATCCTTTTGATCTGAAGCGAGCGACTTTTTTGCGGAATATATTGATGACCGATGTGGAAAAATGATAACGCGCCGTAGAATTGTCAATGTTATCGGTATCAGGCAGAGTTATAAAGATTTAGCCATTTAGGATAGGACTTTAAATGGAAATAAGTCCTAATCATTTGGAAATCCGATTTAAATGTTGTTTTGAATTAAAATCAAAAAAATCTGATTTAAATAAAAAAAATCCCATTTTTTTGATTTTTTTTTAAATCATGATTTTTTCCAACCCTGTCAAAAAGTAACAGTAATTGAAAGAATTGCAAAATGTTTGTGGCAATTTCATTTTGCTCTTAAAAACTAAACCTAGGCATGTCTTGACATGAGTCAAAAAACAAAATATTCAGGAGACATGGTTCTGATTGAAAAATAATGTTTTAGGAAAATTTGCTCACGAAATTATTGCACATGTATAATAAGTCAAATAAACTGAGTTTGCGAATTAAAGTTGATATATTTATGTACAGTTTGCTAAGAAAATCAAGGAAATATGGTTAAAAATAAAAAAATATCATCAAAAAAAATTTTTAAACTGGACCAAAAAATCATGTCAAAAATTTTTAAACCGGACCAAAAAATTTTTCTGTTGCGTTTTTTTTGCATCTGAGTGTATTATGGAACTTTCTTAAAATATAAGTCAGTAAAATATATTTTTTTTGATGATATATTAAATACTACTTACTTGCCCAGTATGACATGCTTTTAGTCCCTCCTTTACTTATATTATTAAGTAAATCATCCACAGCTTAATCAATCGATTCATTTATTATAGCTATATAGGGTTTTCCAACCAACACAAGTATTTTAGTTTACATTAGAGGATTTCTGAAAAAAACTACTCAAGTTATTTTGTGTATTTTATTACTTTATGTTCTTAGAGAAGAATTACAGACTATATCTAAAAATTTCCTGAAAAACAATTTCCTTTTGAGTTAAAATGACAAATAACAATTAATTATCACTGTCATATATTCTTGCATTGAACCTTTGAATAAGAAGATTAAGGAAGGAGCATAATGTTATCCATGTATTCGTGCATGGTGGGCGGAAAAAAGACTCTAGGTTGGGGATCCTTGACAGTTATGTTTAACGATTCATTTGACACATTTGAATTTGATTTGAAATTTTGTGGATTTGTCAGTCTTTACGGAGCTTATTTTATGTTATTTATTATTTATTCTACTACTGATAGTTGTATAAAGGTAGTAAATCTAGATGAAAATTGTGGCAGAACTTAAATTAACAGTGACACTATCGCGATTTATCGAAAAAGACTCTAAAATAGTTGGTTGTGTAGCGTGCGGTAGATCTCGGCAAAAATCGACTGAAATAATGGAACTTTTCGGTAGTAAGTAACTATATAATATACATACGTGTAGTAAACCGATCATTTATAAAATTCACTTAAATTAACTAATTATATATTTTTTCTTGCATTTTTGCTTTTATTTACTACTTGTCACAGATTAGATGTCAAAGAATTTAGATACGTCAATTTGACTTACCTGTTTCAGTAGCGTATCGGATA